CCCCTGCCCGGCCCCCGGGCCCCACCTGGTCGGAGTGACTGGCTGGCGTTGCCGTGCCGGCGCCGAGCTCTCACGGGGAATACGCGAGTTTGGCCCGCGGCGTCGCGCTCGCTCGCAAAATTATCTATCGCTCTCCGAAGTTTAATAAATACGAGCGGACAAGGCCAAGGGCGGAGCGTGGAGGGAGGAAAGCACGTGGGTGTTCTGACAAATGTGCAAAATTATCGTGCCGTCTCGCTTTAACACGCTGAGGTTTTTATTCAAATGCCAGAGTGCGAATGGCTTTCACCGCTGCCGCTCTTTCGGCTGTCTCCTCAACAACGCATGTTTATTCTTTGACTCCTCCTCGTGCTTCCTGGTGCTTTCCTTCTCATAAGGAAACAACAAAAATATAGGTTTTGACATTGTTCACCAAAAAAATGTGTTCTCAATTGAAGTATCGTACTTTAAAATTAAAACAAAAAATTGGGCTAAAAATTTGAAGTACCCCACTTGAATTGAGAACACATTTGCATGGTGTTGTAGAGAGGAAGCAAAATGCAATCGGAGTTGTCTTTCCTCCTGGGATATAGATTTTCATTGGGTTGTGCTTTGAAAAAAAAAAGCTCTCCACTTTAACCGCAAACAGCCCGTTTCGCGCGTTTTCTTTATGTTTTGCTTTCGGTCCATGGCGTTAGCAGAGCCTTTATCCCCCCCCCCCCCCCCCGGCCGCCCCCCCCCGTCGGGGGGGTTAATAGGTGCGCAAGGGGGGGGGGGTTAGAGAGCACATTAATCAGGCAGCCCATCCCTCTTCCTCGACAGCGCGAGTGGCTCCGGGGCCGAGACCTGTGGGGTGGATGTGGGTAGGTGCCTCGCGGTCTAAGAATAGAAAGTAGTACCCTGCACCTGATTACACTGCAAATAAAAACAAAAGGGCCAGGATGGAAGGCAACTGTACGCTGCTTGAGAAGCACAAATGAGCCGCGGCAAATAATGTATGCGTACGACTGAGGCTTGTGTAGAAATCGGTAGGAACACGCTGATCATCATACAATAACGCAAAACTGGTCCATGATATCCAAGAACCATCGGAAGGATTCAATGGCGGGGGTAGGAAACAACACATGAGGCGTTCTTGAATCCCTCAAAAGGTAAGATCCTTGGAACAAGGAACAATTTTTTTCACCGCGCATGAAACTTTATTTTCACAATTGTAGCAAAATAGTGGTAGACTCACAATACGAAATTTACAAAAAAAGTTAAGGGTACGGCGTGAGGGAGGAAGCAGGGTGGGCTCGGGGGGATCTGAGTTCTGTCATGCTTTGCCACACCTGCTAACTGGCCATCGACAACACAACTTGCCTTCACACTTTAATTGAATTACCAGAGGAAGACACCAACCCGGCCTTCTCCCTCGCCCCTCTCCGTCTCTTTCTCCCCCTCTGATGTTGGTTGAGGCAAAGCAAGCCTACAGCGCAAAGTCATCTACCTCTTGCTTACGTTCACTGAACTGGATTTGCAGAGACTCCAGTTTTACAAGTTTGGAATTGCACAGTTATCACAACACACAGTGTTAGATTGTTCTGTTTGTTGGTTTTTTCCTTCTATTTTTACATATGCCGGTCTTCTTCGATCCCTGACCTCTACCCTCTGTATCCTACCAGCAGCACGATAGCCCACCCA